AAATGGTTTTGTGTATATATTTTTGGATTCAAGATATTTGTCATATGTTGGCACAGCAGACATTTTACATGTTACTGTATTAGGAAAAGAACAGATGTAAATATTAAAATAATTCAATTGAGCTGCTTCAGTTTCAGGGTCTGATATTTTGTATGCTGACTCACTATCAGAAGGTCAAGTCTTTCTGGGACACTCCACTGGGACCTGAACAGAGCCATCGTTCATGTCAGACACTGTGGACAGTCAACATGTCGGCAGTGGAAAAAAGGCCTTTAACTCCAAAGGCAAAACTTAAAATAGACAAACTTGGAATAATCTGTAAATCTCTTCACATTAATAAATCTCAGAAAATCCCATGTGGTTGAACACAAGTGCTACGAACAACTAATTGGCTGAATATAAGTTTCCTCTTTAGATTTCATGCTGACATTAGAACGGTGACACTTTTCAGAATGACTGACGAGCTCTTCCATCCATCAACATCAATTCCAGGATGACAAAATGGAAAGTTTCACTTCTACAACGCTTCCTCTCTCACTTTGTCTTTGCCCAGACTTGCCATAATTGCACTGGTTGGACCATTGTGCAGAGTGTAGGTTATACTTTCTGTGAACACACATCAACTGGAAAAAATAAAACCTCAGCAGGTAGGAATTAGACGGCAGCTGTTGTCTTCTACATTACACTGCATATTACATGATGCAGAACAGATGGAAAAGCCCCTTGTAAAACTTGCTGAGCATCAAGGCGCAGAGCAGTGGTGATGAAGAGACATCCGACTCAAAGTACCTGACCCTGCCCTCCCTGTCTGCTTCTCTAACTTTATTTCCACCGCTGTCACTTCCTGAGCACAGCTGATTGAGAAACCAGTCAGAATAACAAAACCTTGAAGCGGAATTGGGGGGGTGGGGGTCCTGCCTTGGATCAGATCAAGTCCAAATTAACATCTGGTTTTCCGCCTCTCCGCTGTTATTTTGCGAGTGGGAGTGCACGCACGCACATCGGCGGCGGCCCCGGGTGGAGCTTGCGCTGCAGTGTGTTTCAACTTGCGCGGCTATCTCTGAGGGTGGGAAGGCGTGAGTGGGTGTCTGTGGAATTTGATTGTGTGTGTGTGAGAGACAGAAAGCAGAGGAAGAGTGGAGGACCGGAGAGATAGACAGAGTGACAGATGGAGAGATGAAGGAAGAGACAAAAAGATACAAATAGACGCAGTGATTTAGAGTCACCCGTGTCAGTGGCTGCAGAATAATCTCATTAGAGACAGAATTACTGCTCTCTGTTGGTTTGTGTCTTCATACAGGTGATACATGTCCAGATAAATATATCCAGATTCATTCATTCTAAAACCTCTGAGTGGACAAATGTCAATGCACCGGTATTTTTTTTTTATATTCAACAGGCAACTGTTTATGTAAAATGTCTTTGTCTCCTAATGTGTAAGACAGAGGCAGCTCCATTTCCAGTCGTCTACTCAGCAGTTTTGAATCTCTCTTGAGGGACAAACGTTCGCTCGCTTACACTCACGCAGTAACTTGAGACGTGAGTGGTAGGTCTAACACTGGGATGACATGAAGCACAGTCCGCTATAATCTCCGCTATAATCTTTGATCAGCTGTCTGGATCATATTTAGGGAACAAAGCATTTTTCATTCATTCACTCTCATTTTTACTCTTATGCACTCTTGATTTACTGTTCCTGAGCAATGCCCTGGAAGGAAATGGGAGATCAATCAACAATGTTTCAATGTAATGCATCAATGCAGTTAAAAAACAAAATTACGAGGAGCAGTACAACTGTTTTCAGACATGAACTCTGAAGAATGATGTCTGCACATTTTGCGGAATTTCCCTTTCAAATATGAAAATGCAACAGGATATTGTCAGACCAGACACGTTTTACAACAACAGGAACATTTCTGGAAAATTCAGGTGAAGGGAGGCACATGGGTAGAGCGTGCAGAAGGTCGGACATGACGTATAAATAATAAAAGAATGCCGTTTACTGCACTTCCTCACAAACTAAAAGCGTCAAAAGCTCTCGTATCTCGAGTCTTCTACGTGTATGTCTCCTCTTTCTCATCTCAGATATTTGGATTCTTCCAGTTTCGTGTCTGTTGCATGTTATAAACGTCATCAACACACCCACTCATTCGCTCTGAATTTCCTGGTATCCTAGTATCAAATTTCTGTCTAAAAACAGCTTTTGTGTGTGTCTTTGTCAATACATTTGTGTGTTTCTGTCTCTGGGGCTTAATGAAGGTTTTTCAGTTGTTTCTATTCTATACACAACCATTTTTAATGCATCATCTAGTCAAATTTAAATGATGAGGAAAAACAAAGCAAGTCAGCAACAGCATGTGAATGTCAAACCTAAGTAAGTATTAGTAACCAAGTGGTAGTAAAGGAAGTTCAATAATAAACAGAGGTTGTTCCATACCGTCCATCTGTGTTTCTCCACACTTGGTCTGGTGGGTCTCGGTACGTCACTGCCACTTCCTTCCCCTGAAGCCTGAGGAGACCAAACATACGTTGAACGTTTAATTTCAAAATGGACTTCATTTTACAGTGTGCCAATGTTCTTATTAAATATCTGACAGACAAATATCTTTTCTGTTGTGCCCTGTGTGACAGCATTAATGGACACTTTTAGATGTCTGCGTCCTCTCATTTCTGTTCATGTTGTCTGTTGAAAATCTGTTTTTATGTTTCCTTCTTGAATTTGAATCTCGCTGACTACATAGACAGTAATATTCTGACCAAAGACCCTATTCTGAATAAGACATTAATTCAATTATGATGTTTTCAAGAGTTGCTGATAAAATTTCCATTCATACTCCTGTTAACACGTTAACAAGTCTCACATCCCGTTACTTCCTACGTGTTTAAACTAGAACACAGAGCGTGTGTTGTCAAAAATGTAGTAACTCTAATAGGATGCTTTAATGTGATTTAAGACATATACATGTCCTCACAATATTAGTACTACTCTAGTATTAGTCTACATCTCTGTGCTCAAAGTTTACAATTTACAGTAAGTAGGTTTCATACTGTGTTGTGCTGTTTAAGGCTATATATATTATATATTACATATTATAAGGCTTCTTATTAATTCAATCCCGTGATCGTGTCGTCTTCACTGTCACTGACAACTGTGTCTTTTTAGATTAAAGACACATCCTGAAATCTGAAACCTGTCATTTTCACTGGGAATGCGATTTCCCCATCTAATCCAAACAACATTTTACGATTTGATGACAACAAGTCTTGAACTTTATTCTGTCGTAACATGGTTTCTGGTGGTCTCAGCGAGCGGAACAGCTGTGACGGCAATGTTTGACTAAATAACAGTTAAGGCTGCTGGTGGGCTGCAGAGAGGCACCTGTGTTTGTGTGCGGGTGGTCAGGGTCAGTGGCTCCTCTCAGACTCTTACACTGGTGTCCAACAGGGTAAACAAAAGCAGTCTTGTCATTTAAATATGGCATATAGTCAATTTGCCATTTTTTATAGAGCTGTCCCAATGTTTGGTGACATTTTTCAAACCCTATATAATGCACTCAATGTTCCCCACAATGCAATGTGAAAAGTAGTTTACAACCGTCACAATGCACTGTCAGTGCTGACTGACAGGTTTACATCTGCTGGCATTTTCACACACCAATTTTTAAACATTAAGTTTTTTGTCCCTGATATTTCTGTGGGCATTTTTATTTATTTTTTATGACCAGCATAAGACAAATCTTAGCTGTGGCTTTCGGTGTGCTTTTTACCTAAAGTCATTAATACTAACTGTAAAAAAATATTTTAAATTGACTTAGACATTTTCCACCAGCTGACGTTGTTGTTTTTGTTGTATGCCATAATCCTGCGACACTGATGTAATAAACGGTGCAGAGAAAATGTGACGAGTAGTGTCCGCAACCCTTTTTCTTTTGCCAATGAGATCACAATATATTCCTCTACATAGAAGTAATTTGTTAGGAAGTAAGGGTTCATTAAAAGTACAAAAGCCTTTTAAAATAAAAAGTAAGTCATGCAAGTCATCACAATGGTTTTGTGAATCTGTGGTGTGGTATTGTTGCAGGGGACAGAACAGAGAAGCTAATAAAAGCCTAAACTCTGATAGTGTCCAGGACTGGCTTCCTTATAACTGGTTAATGATGCTTTATGGTTTTCAGCCAAACGAGAGGTGACTAAGTAGCAGGATAGATTTGTTAGCTGGAGACACTAATAATTGGAGCTTGTGTTAGAGCAAAACACTAAATAGATTATCGCCTTTTTTCTTGTGTTTTTGGTTTTCGACAAAATTGACAAGCGTACAGTGCCTCATTACTGTTGATAAGTAATAAATGTGTTCTTTTCCATGTAACCCAGTGGCTACCAAACTAGCAGCAAGAAAGCAGGGTTGTGGGATGAGATTGAATAAAATATGAAGAAAATGAAAAATGAAAAAGCCTATTTGAGCCATAAAGATTACAAAATGTAAAGCTTTCATCTGGCTCTCAATTTTTCTTTGTCCCCACATGATTCCTGAGGTGATTACAACAGACTGACCATAGGGAACATGTGCACATAAGCGATTTTTTTATAAAACTAGCTCGAATCAAGATCCTTTGTATGCTTCAACCACCTCCAGGTATGAAGACAGTTTCAATTCTGTGCCACCATTATTTTGAGGGCCAGGGGCTGAATATTTTGGGAACTTCTGCAGAACTTTAGTCACATGTAGTCAGAAGGTTCTGTTTTTTAACAGGGGGGGATATGGCCCAGAGTAAGCACCCTGCTGCCTCCACGCCACTAACCAATACACACACTTGCATCTCACCTTAACCCTAACTGTGACATTTCTAATGTTATCCAATTAGTCCTTGTATTTTTCCATTTATTTGTATAACTGTGAATAAATACAATAAGTAAATACAACTGTAAAATCTATGCAGCAGAGTTTTTTTCAGGAAGGATTATCTCATGTTTCACACAATGCAAGCAGGCCCATTTTAAATTATAAAAACCAAAAGACCCCTTTCAATAACTTAGTATCTACATTCCTTGAAGAACACAATGTACATTGTGCTGAACAACCCCTGCAGTCTCTGCTAATAGAGGGGGGATGGCAGGTTGACATTTTGGTCATTTGGGGGGTGATGACATACCCCTCATTTCCCCTCAAATCAACCACTGCATGTAGTGTATTATCTACAAAATGTGATTAGCTCACCATATCGGAGTCGTCCTCATCCTCTTCACAGAGTCTCTCAGCAGCGCGGGGGTCTCCCACCAGCCTCAGCTCCTCGATCACCCCCTGTTGCAAAACAAGGACGTGGTGTATTGATGTTTGATGATAACGCCAGAGAAGCACACACACACATTAGATGTCTCGCTTTCAACTTATAAACATGGATATTCATCTGTGAAGTTCCTGCTCAGGGTTTGGCAGCAGTTCTCAGGGAATTCCCCATTTCCACAAAATCAGAGGGGCTCTTGATGTCTCCAGTTTTAGCCTCAGTCTGTGAAGGGCCTCTATCTCTGCCCCCCCACGCACACAGACATAATCTGATTTTCCCACACAGATGCTCACAGATAGTATGAATACTATCAAAGGGCCTTTAGCTCTGTATGTGTCGGTGGTTTCTCTGCTGATGAGTTACTTGATGTTGAGTCTCCAGGACACATTTATGTCTTGAGAAAAAAAATCTAATGGATCTTTTTAAAGAACTTTGACGGCAAATAGAAAAAGCTCTTTGACAATGTACCCCCGTCTCCTAACTGGCTTTTAATGATTGTACTGATGTAGCTGACATGTTGTGGTCTTTTTCAAACAAACTGCTTCAGATCTTTACATTTAATTACGTCCTATTCACCCTGCAGCATGTTTTTGACAGTTATGCATAATAAGAAATAAGGACATCCAAACAAATCATATTTCAGAGTGGATTTCGTTGTGATTACATTGATTAAATTCACAAGACCCCCAGAGTCCACAGGGCAAAGGTCAACAAATAGCACATGGTCAGCTAGACCTGAAAGAAGATGTTCTTAAATAAGTACTTTATAAAACAGCTTTTTGAAAACACCCATTCAAAAGGAAATACCGTGGATGAACTTGTCTCACATCGCTCTTCAAACGCAGCAATTAAATAGATCAAAACATTACATCTGAGAGGGGAAGTAAGAAATGATCTGCATAAACACTATAAACTTTAATTCGAGTGTTTTTAAACCAGATGGAAAGTTTTCATTTGGAATTTGAAAGTTATAGCGTTTATAGTTTCTTCATTTATTTTATATTCCTTTAATGTAACACAATACAAATACCAAGATACTTTCATAATAAGGAACACCCTTTAACTGATCGTTATGCCTTTCTGTTTGTATGGTTTCAGTTTGGTCCTGTTAACAGAAGAAGATCATTTATGTCCCTGTAACCAGCAAGACTCTATTTTTAGAAATGCTGAGATGTGTAAGTTGCAAGTTAAAGGACCACCGCCATGTTAAAGTTTAACTCAATGTGAGAGGGACACAGAGGCCATAAGATCATGTTAGCACCTGTATATATTTAATGGTCATTATATTATATGCCAATGAAAACAGTTATATATTCAAAGTAACAATGCAGACAGAAACATTTTCTTTTTCTACATTTTCTAATATATATATTTCTTTTCTTTTTCTTGTAAAGGGACCTGGGTTGAAATTTCAAATGTGACCTCAAAAGCAATGAGGTGATGAGCTATCTTTTGTATCGGAGATTAAACTTTTACTAAAGAGTCCAAGTGTCTTTTTCACCAAAGTAAGAGATTGCACAGGTTTTCCCTCGACACCAATGTGTACACTGAGTACTGTGGTTTTTCCCTTTAGTCCTAATCCTTTTGATTTGTGTGAACAAAAAACTGCACTGTATCTACTGCCCATGGTTTATTAGCTGCATGAACAGAGACAGAATGAACCGTTATCACTGATTGCATATTTTTGCTAGCATGCTTGGTCTGAGCAGGTAGCCATGGTTGAACTGCTTTAACCCTTTTACAGCTAAGGTCATCATTTGTTGCAGTCAACTGCTGAGCTTTACTGCAGTCAAATGACTCCAGTTAATTATGTCCCAGCTGTGAGCTTTCCCAATTATGTGCAGGCGGCTCTGAGCAGGATGGTGCTGTAGACATTTATGTTATGCTTTTGGAGTCGGCCAATTTGGGCAATCAAGTCATATGAGGGTTATTCAAGCAGGATGTTTCACATGCCTGACTATGAAAAATCAAAACATGACACGGCACTTTTCCAAAGATTCTTGCAGTAGGACTCAGTATCACGTTGCTGCCTGTGTCATAGTTATTCAGTGCCAGATTTCTTCATCTACATTAAAGCTTTTAAAAAACAGACAAAGCCTTTGTATACGCACCAGGAACTTGTCAGGATCAGCCCCTCCAGCTTGCCCGACGAACACCCCAGCACCGGCGTCCAGCTCCATCTCATCTGGGGACCTCTCAATGCGCATCACCCGAGGGTCTGTGTCACAGTTGAGGTAGAACAATACCTTGTCGTCCCTCACAGCGATGGAGAAACGGGTCCAGGTGTCCCTCATGGAGGGCACAAGGAACCTGGCTGCTTCATACGACTGCTGCGAGTCAGGTTCTGTGTAGTACAGGATGATGTTCTGATTGCCGCCCTGTACGGCTGACAGTTTAACCCCCACATACATGATCTTCTGCGTGGCATCTGTGATAGAGAAGATGACTCCCCCCCTGTCAGAGGTGGGCTTCAGGTTGACCCTGAGGGCAAAGTCTCTGTAGAATGGGCTTGGGAGGTGGGCGCGTGCCAGCTGGCCTGTGTTGGCATCAAGGCCAAAGATGTATCTGGAGCTGTTGTCGGGCCCAAAGACTCGGGTGATCTCCTTGGGAGGAGGATCCCCAATCAGCTGCATTAGGGAGACTCCTGTGTCTTCTAGAAGGGAAGAGAAAAAAGAGATTAGGCCCCAATATGCATAAAATACAGTGTGGGTTAGAAGGGAGGGCAGCATGACAGGGTGTAATGTTAGACCAGGCTCTGTTGTTGGCTGATTTAAGGTGAATGTGTTTTCAGTGTCACTTTCATATGACAGAGGTGTTTGTTCTGCTAAAACAAAATTTATATCAACATCTGACTGGTCATAAAGTTCAGAAAATTCTGCTCAGGGGATCAGAAACAAACAAACCATTTTTCGAACTAGAGCACAACATGGAAGGGTTGACGTTCCTCAAAAAGGGCAAAGGATGCACGGGTCATTTGAGACTAAAAAAAGCAAATCACTTTTGGAGACATTTTAAGGTCTCTATTCCAAATACAAGACCAGCTGAACCTAAACTCCAACTTCCTAAACTGTAGGATGATCCACACAGGCATCGTCCTGGAGATGCAATGCATGACTTGAGGGTCGACTGATTTAGCTCTCACAATAAATGTGCCACAGGGGCTGAAACCAAGATGAAAACATGCAGAGTTGTTGGGATCTAGAATCATTTCTCTGCAAATGTCTATGGCAGAAAATTCCATTCCTTTTCTCAAATTTTTAACCTTCACCAGTCTCCTGTGCGCAGAATGGGATTAAGTTGGAAATCTATACATCACTTTCTTAAAGGTACAAAAACTCTTCCGACTTGTGTGACATCTGCTAAATGTAAGGGGCCTGGGGCACAGGGACCAACAGCTGGGGCCTCCTGCATATCCGTGCTCAGTCTTCCATCACCCTGGGTGACTCTGGCGAGGTCAGCACATAATTATCAGAGGCGTTTAGGAAATGCAAGGAACACAAAGAGCAATGTGTATTCGTTCACATGCACGTTAGAGACAGTGTAACATCAAACCTTAGGCCAAATCTTTCTGCTTTTCCAAAAACAATATTACCTCGTGAAAAATGACAAAAAACACTGTTTTGGGAGATCACTTGATGCAGTTTCTGGAGCTTTGAAGAAATGCTTTGGTTCACCACCTGGTGACTAATGTGCTCGGTTCAAAGGCTCCCCACTACCACGACTGCTAGAGATCAGTGTGGTCTGCAGTGGGCTTTGTTGAGAGCATAAACATGCAAAGTGTTCAGCTGAACCCGAGGCCCTGCTTTCTGCCTTACAACCATTAACAACCGTCTGAATATTCTGCATGCTGTCTGAGGAATATGATGCTTTAATTTGGGTCTAAGCTAACAGACAACCCAGTCAAGCTGTAACAGGACAGCAATAAAACTATATATATAGTTTTATTTTACTACCTATAAGGTTCAGCTCGTGTCAATCCGACATATATTTCAAAGTGAGGCTCATCACTGGCTGTAAATTGAAATACGTACAAATGTCATCATCAAATATAAATGAAAATAAAGCATGAAGTACCAAAAAATGCATGTGAAAATGTCTTTTTTGCAACATTCTCTATATAAATTGACTGTAAAATGATCCTCCTCAGTACAATGTATATAGGATCTTGGTGGATATTCCAATAACATAAGAAATATAGCTTTGTTTAGCATATAAGGTAATAATCTCTCATTCACAGAGGATATCTGTCTCACACCCATCAAAAGTCTAATTGGGTGTAAACTTAATAAATCTTTCTGATGAAAATACTGTGTATAAAACAGATGGTCTTAGTCTAACTCAGCTTGAGAACAGCAGGTAGACTGTGGGTCCTTGACTGCTGCATGAATGGCAGTAAACAAATTAACTGTCATTTGCACCGGGCCGACCAGATGTTTACTCTGATAAAGTCAGAATGAGAAACCTCGAGGGTCTCTGCAGTGGGCCTGTGCTCACATGTCTGAACCTGGCGCCCTCCTATACACAGTCTCTGCCAGGGTGAGACTGAAGAAGGCCAAACTGTGTAGTAAATCAGTGGTGAAATCCATCATGACAGAAAGCACACCATTTTAATTTGTGAAATCCTCCTGCTACAGGTGCTGCAGCCAACATGTGAGCTACCTCTATATAGAAACACTTCATCACTGAGCATGCATGATCACTCTTTTTCCACTAGAAAAGAAAAAGCTCTGAATGACGTTGATTGTGCATGCAGGTTGTCATAAAAAAACAATTTGATTTGTGTATAGATTAAACTTCAAGGTCTATAATAAATTGGAATGTGAGGCACATCTCTAAAACTGAGCCCGGTTGCAGCATGCAGCATTCCTCTAAAGTTCAAACTGGGGCTTCACAGTCACTCTCCTCTCACGGTAATATCATCATCTCTTTCTCAAACGTCTGATTTTCTAATGCATTTGCCAAAGAACCAGCAAACATCCTTTTGAAACGTGTGTGCAAGAGCTTTCCAAAGCTCCCATTAGTGAAACATCTATTGGTCCGGATTTGCACTCAGCCAGATGTGCATTCAATTGGAATATGTTCCGGATTGACCAAAAAGAAAAACATATCCATGTGAACCAGATTGTCATTAACCAGTAAATGTAAAAAGTAACTCAGATCTTAAAAGGTAACTTAATGTTATTAGGCATGATGTCAACACACGAAAGAAAAGGAAGCTTGGGACTGTGAATTTCAATTTGTAAAGCAGATGAAAAGGTTTGATCCGCCTTAGACTTCCATAGGAATGCGTTTCCAATGTGCCTGCAATGTCAGCAAAGGGCCAGCGGGTCATTCTCACAGATCAAAAATTGTTGGGTGTACAAAGGGTGCCACCATTAGCATTTTAAGTGCAATCTCAATTCAGGTTTCCAAACAGCTTTTGTTGTCCAGTGACAGCTTCAAGGCCAATTGGCTGTAGAAAAGAGCTGTTGATGAATAGCTTGCTGCTGGATTTACGGTGCTAGTTTGTCTTGTCAAGACGACCACTCACTGACCAGGACCCACGGCTCTTTTTCATTTCCTCACATTCCAGGACACAGTTTGTGATACCCTGTTGATAAAGCTGTATATATACAGCGTGAAACTGTATATACAGCTTTGGGAAGTACAGGATCCTGTATAATCCACGGGAAAACATTTGAACATCTGGACAGTGCCAGAAAACGCTACGGTTTCACTGACAACACTCCATCACCGTTTAAAACATCCCTGGAGGCCTGCTGACAGGGGCAATGATCTTTCCCTGTCTGCACAGAGTTGGTCAGTGCTCTCACCCTGTGTTTGGAGTGTCAGAGCACATTTTAGCCCTGTGATTGTAAAAACAAATGTCCACAATCATGATGTATTTACAGCATCAACCATGTTCTGGCTTGTCGGCCGATTGATTTTAAAGGTTCAGTGTGTAGAATTTAGTGATATCTAAAGGTGAAGTTGCTTGTTGCAGATGAATACTCCTAATCTCACCCTGCCCTTCCCAATATGAAGGAGAACCTGCGGTGAACTTCAGTTGTCATGAAAACTCAAAAAGTTTTAGTTTGTCCAGTTTGGATGATAGTAAAAAACATGTAAATATAAAGTAATTAAATATAAAGAGCCATGTCTAGAGGAGCGAAAACAACTATTAATATAATTTAGATGAAACACACCAGTAAAAACATCACAAAACATTGTTTTATATTCAATTTCTGCCAAAAATCCCTTTCACCTAAATCTTACTCACTGGACCTTTAAGGGGAAATTAAATTTGGCCAAATGATACAATGTTAGTCTTGCATTCGGCTTCTTTTATCCCCGTTGATCTTTCAGTTCTCATTAAATCACTGTTAAGTACTTGCTCTATACTGATTCATCATTGGTTTAATATGACAAAAGCCTATTTTTCTTAAGGCTTTCTTTGTAAGAGATATACTAATGTGATTGCTTTATGGAACCTGACATAAACTATTGTAGCGTAAAACCTATAGCAGCATGTGGAAATATTCTCTACTATCGCCAAAACCAAGTTCCAGGACAGTTGGGTTTTAAATAACTGACAGTAATAAGAAGAGAACATGTTTTAAATTAAAACATGAATATTACAGCTTTTTTTCCTGCAAAGTTTATTCTGTGAACAACTGAAGTATCTGAAAAAGATATGAAACCCAAACAAACCGCATCACAGTCCAGGAAGGAGAACTTTATGTTGGCTCACATTAAGCTGTAATTCTGAAACCACTAAAAAGAAGACAGGTCTACCACAACCTGTGCACTTTACTCTTTGCGGAAGGAGTAATGTGATACTGTTCATGTTTTCCACCTGTATGTATGGAGCTTTGAAGAAACACACAAGGTGTAAACAAACCTGTCTGCACATACCACAAATATGTCTTCTGAGAACTCAGGAAGAAAATATCACTTTATGGATATTCTCTGAGGCACAAGTGGAAATATGTTTAAATAGGTTTACATCCAAATCATCCAAAGTGCCAAGACAGCCCTGCTCTTCACCAGAAACGTTGTTGAAAAATTTTACTCTGAGAGTGCCACAAATAGGCAATCATCCATCTCATCCCTGCGCTTCTGAACTGTGTTTAGCAACACTGCCTCATCAGTGCTGGTTTTGTACTGATGCAACACAAACCAGAGGGGGCAATGAGTTTCTGGCAGCAAAGAAGTCGGACAACACTGTGCCCATAATTGGAACCCTCCTGAGAGCCAAGTCAAAATGATTCCCTGGCAAGCGGCACATGGAGGAGCTGGAGCCAGCTTCAGGCCTTCCTGTCATGAGATACAATATCAATCTCGGCTCAATGGAACCATGGTGCTACAGATCAGTGTCAGACCACCAAAAAGGTGTACAAGCAACAAAACACAGACGCAGTGTACACAGACACTGAGACACCATTCAAAAGAGCAGTTTATATCTTCACAGTTCAGGATCCTTTTCATTTTGTAAAAACACCACAGAGGTGGCCAGGCACAGGATTCCATTTAATTTCAATTAAACAGTATTTGTGACAGGGAGTAATAGAGTTTCTCATATAGGGTTTAGCTTTACCATCAAGAACTAGCAAAAATAAAGTGCAGTTGACCTTAGACCTTGATATGAATGACTGCTCATCTTTCAAGCAGGAGACCGGTAACCATGGAAAGACATCATTAAAAGACCTATTGTGCCCAAACAATCCTGTCTCTCCCACCAGGGTAGTAAGGGACCACATCTGAGAGATTTCTAAAAGTTTTTATCCACTGAAATCTCTGCAATTTTCCCTCAGTAATCACCCACATATCATTTTTGGAATAAAGTGCTCTTTCTCTGTTGATGGCCCAGTCTTTAGAAAGAATACCAACTCAAAGAGCTGTAAGCATATCATGAGACATTCTTTCATGACAGGTCATCGTTTAAGCGATGCGGGAGTTAAGGCCCAGAGCAAAAAAGAGCGTATGAGTGCCCTCCTCCCACACACATCAAGCCAACAGAGCTGAAAAGTGTCTGCACCTTCCCAGACGCTGCCCAGTATGGGCTCCGATTAGTGAATCCAAGAGGTCAAAGCAACTTACAGAGTTTTGTGACACATTATCAGTGATGTCATTCAGGCAATCTTTACGGATTTACCAGATCACAGGCTGTGACGATGACACACATAAACATGAGGAGATTATAAAGTCATATGAATGTTCATAGTGTAACTGAATCAAAAGTTTACAAGTAATCCTCAGGATCTAGGCAACGGAGAAACCTCACAGGGACAGTACTAAGTCACATGCAATACACAACATAACTGCCTTGGCTGTGAACTAGGGCTGAACAATTGAATGAAAATGATTGAATTCATAATATTCAGAACATTCCTTTTTGGTACAGACTGCAGCAAAGAATCACAACAATAAAAGCATTTTGAAATTGTTTTTTCATTACAAATTAATTCCCACTAAAATTGTGACTTGTTATTGTAGTATATATATATTGCATCTTTTAAAATAATCACAATATGATTTTATTCTGAATTTCGTTCAGCCCTATCATGAGCCTACACTGATCAACCCAAACATTTTTTTTGTTACCTGAACTGTGTATTAAATTGGTGATCAAACGTCAACAAGATCATACTAAGGTCTATGCAGTGTCAGGGCTGCTGGTTCTGGCCCTTATAATATCTTATGTTTTTTTTTTGGCTTTTCCAAACTATATGGGCCAGAAAATTGAACCATAATCCCCTCTACTAACCTTCCTCATGAGACCCACACCAGCAAATATAAAGTTCAAACAATTCACATATACAAATCAGCTTGGACCCAGATGTGTCTCTTAATCCTGGAGCCAGAAACTCATGTCCACTCATGTCTGTCAACGGAGCAGGCTGTCAGAGAGACAGCAAAGCTGTAAAAGGACACAGTCTTGAACTCAGTGATATGAAGAGGAGGGCAGGAGAGTGGCCCAGTGAAAGGGATATGGTTTGTTTGATACAGGACTGAGCATACAGGATGTTCTCACATGAATCATTTTCACCAAGGGTTGTGTTTATTACTTTAAATCCCACAGATGATGCTAAAACACACATGTCCTGTTAAATGTATCCATAAACTACCACATTACTATTAGTTTACTGCAACTACTACTACTTTTTGGCTCAGCATTTACAACATGAAATCCAAACTGCAGCAATCTAGAATATTCACATCACTCAAGATCAGACAAAAACACATGCATTGAATGCTGATTTATTTCTTTTCCCATAAAACGTTCACCTCTGTGTTGCCTGTGTACAGTAACCCTCCAGCTGTCAGAGGTGCTTTGGACTGGCAGGGTTGTCCAAACTGACATGCCACTGAAAACCACTGATGCAAACATCGCTGTTTCCCATGCATGACAACCTAATCTGTCCATTTAGATAGATGCACATCAAGCTGCCTGCAAGTCACTCACTGTCAAAAGAGACATGCAATTCCACATGCCAAAGTATCTACAGTATTTCATGCACAATCTGTTTACAGAAGAAGGCTTCTGTCTTGCGATTGAGAGAGAAAGCTAACAGATCCATTTTACCTAGTAACCCAAAAAATGTGACAATGGCACAATGCTATTTTACTTTGCTTCTAAATACTTATATAAGGAATTGCATTGGAAAGAAAAGATTTCGAGTTTTATTTAAAAACAGCATTTAGAAACTGCAGTTCAACAGGAAGATAGGAGCTCTTTCAATTCACATTTCATGTGTCATGCCAGCTTGACCTGATTTATCACTATGGACTGTCTATCTGTTGATGTTATGTACTGCAGTACAAAATCTATACAAAACCAACTGCTTCCCATGTGAGCAAACATGACCCTTTAAATCAATAAGCTGCAGAGGATATGTACATCATCTGGTTTGCTAATGAACCACAACCCCACTGAATTGTGTGTGTGTGTGTGTGTGTGTGTGCGTGAGAGTGTCTGTGTGAGTAAGGAGTAATTTCATGCAATCCAAAGGACAAGGGAAACATACAACAAGTTAAACAAAGCATTCTGGCATCATGCTTGTTAGACTGTGACCAGATCAATGTGTCAGCTCTGTTACCAAAGGAAAAATACATTCATCTCAGTGATTCACTTTTAACAGGGATACATGTCAATTAATTGGGTGGGTTCGGGGTATTGAGTGAAAACACCAGACAAACTGGGGCAGTGAGGATTTTGAAAACTGGTTCAAAATGAATCCTAATTCAAGGATTCATTTTGAACCAGTGATTACCTTTCTGGTTACTAACTGATAAGCACTGATACCCATCATCCTCATCATCTGGTAGAGCGTGGCACTCCACAGGGAGGTGTCCCTCATCCAGGACCGTCCAGCAACTATCCCGCAAGACTTCGCAGAAACTGCGACAAGGCAACACCGGCAGTGCACCCAGGGAGCCACACTTTGGTACCAAGAGAAGGCAGAAAAACCACTCCAAACTATGGTGGCAATGTGAACTCAACAGCCATGCCCACTTGTTCAGGACTGCCTGAACTTCCTCCACACTGCTCTGGTTAAAATAATTGGGCACAGTAAATCTTTTCCCAACTATGTAGGAGCAGAACGGAAGTGGTCTATCAAGCAACAAGCATTGTGGGGATTCTACAAACAGTGCTGATTTTGCTACTTCTGTGTGGCTTTCAGCTGGCGCATGGATGTCTACAGTTGTCTGGCTAGATAAAGTTGCTTTGCTCTGCTCTTGTCCACTAACTGATGTTTGTGAAGCACCTGAAAGGAGATTGATTTGGCTGTTTGCCACAGTATGGCTAGTTGCTACTGCAGAAGTAAGTTCTCGCTGTTGGGTAGCTACGGTAGCAATATAAGTAGTATCTGGTCTCTCGGTCTGTGTTTGTAGTTGGTAAATTAACTTGTTTTTGGTATTAGTTGGTGTTGGGGTTGTAGTAAATGTCTGGCTAGCAAATGAAGCTTGGCTAGTCTGTAAAACTTGGTTTGCTAAAACTTCCTGAGCAGCTGTTGACACACCAGCCTGTAAATGAGTAACTTCCCCCAATTGGTTGCCCTTAGATACTTGGGTAATCTCTACATAGTTGTTGTCTTCAACTGGAGTTTGTAAACCCCCTGGGGGGAAGTTTTCATGAGAGGGCTTAGTCAAATCAAAACTACTACTGTTAATTCTGCTAATGTTATTGGGAATTTCAAAAACATCAAGACTTTGCATTGACTTTCTGATACCAGCATTAAGGCCCTCATCTGTTCTGTTCTGAATGATCAAGTCACTCTTTTGAAAGTTAGGATTTAGATCATTTTTCGGGGGTTCCACACTGCCATCTATGCTCTTGGGCTCTATAGGTATTACTGCTTCTTTTTGAGTTTCCTTAAAAATTGTGTGAGTTTCAACGTCAGATCCCGAGCTAATTTGAGCTCCTGTTGCAAACCCAGATTCAGACCTATCTCCAGAGCCAGACCAAAGACCTGAACCTGTTTCTGTTTCCAATTCAGACTTAAGACCAGGTTTGAGTCTTGATACCTTTCCTCTAAGACTTTCATGATCAATTCCTTCAGACCCCATACCCTTTAATGAAGATGTGCCATTACCAGGTTTGATCAAGGGTGATGAAATCCCCATTGTGCCCTTTTTTGATGACTGCTCATTCTCCAGTGGTGTAGCAGGTATTAAAGTGGTCAGTGCTGCAGATTCAGTGGTCTCAATCCAAGCCTGCCCAGTCACTTGGATTCCATGACTCTCATCAATGATCTGTGCTCCAACTCTGGCCTCTGTTGGTTGTTCTCCACTACCTGCTGGACTGCCAGACCCCTCATCCATTGTTGGGGCCAACGTTGTGGTACCAGTCCAGGACCAGAACCAAGCATCAGAGTAGACCACACACTGGGCCAACAAAAACAAAACTCCTGCCTGGGTCCTCATCTTTGGCATAATGTCAATTTTTGTCCAGCTGCTTGATTAGGATCCCAGAGTGGACTATGGCATGTCCCCAGAGCCACTACCCTCCTTGCACACACTTTCCTCCAGCTCTGTCCCCACGCACACTCCACTAAGCAGAGAGGAAAAGTGAGGAGGAGTGCCCCATTCAAAAGAGTGAAGGGGGAGAGCAGAAGGAGATGTGCTCCGTATTGGCTGCCCTGCCAATATTTCCTCTCCTAACTCCTCCTTCCTTCTCCTCCTCCCTTTGTCACAGCAGTGAAAAGCGATCTCTCCTGCTGACTGATACCTTAGAATTACTGCTGCCTTGCCTTTCAGTGTACAACACGGATGCTTTCAGTGTTGTGTAGAGAGGGGCAATTTGTTCCCCATGACTTGCTCTCTTTGTTCAAACATGATAATAAGAAAAACTACAGATATTGCCTTGAGAAAATAGCAAATTGTGTGAAAAAATGCTTAATTTTCACTATTAGATTCAAATTTGTCACATTCCACTGCAAAAGTAGAATAAATTACTGAGCAAAGTTGCTGCTGTGATATGTTCTACAATATATAGAATATACAAACAGTATCCTAATACATAAATTGTATCGTTTGTTTTTTACAATTTTACATCCTTTTGATGAAACCAGTCAAATGAGAGCAACACACTGTACAAACTAAAGACTTATATCCCTTCATACAAAATGCAGTTTACTACTCAGTCCATTCTGTGGTTACACAGTAATCCAGGCCTCACTTTCTTGTCCAGACGGGTTTCTCATACTGCAGATGGGATCAGTTGACAGAGACCCTCGACATCTGCTAATCGCAGATTAGTGATAAAAGGAACAGGAGGTTTGTGCAAGTGTGTTTCTAACAGTGCCAGGGTTTAAAATGAAGACAGATATTTTGCACATATAACCTGGGCTGCTGATAGAAATGGGCTAATTTCGTTTGTGCAAAGCATGCCACCACCATGCATGTTCATCCTTGAGGTCACAGATAATCCAACTGACCTCTGTCTGCAAGAGTGTTGAATGACACAGAAGGTGAACAACCATAATACTAAAGAACTGTAAAGCTAGAAATGTAACTAGGACAAGAAAATAAAGTTGATCATTTATTTATCACAAGACTTGATTATTTTTGGACTTTCTTCCCCGATGAAATTTTCATGAAAGAAAAATGCTGTGTTTGTGTCATATGAAAAGCAGCTTCCTTTTGGGCAAACATGAGTAGTGGACTCGTGATTGCCTTTGGCTAAAGCCTGTCTCAGTTTACATTATGATTTTTTTTTTATAAATAAGAACATTTATTCTTCAAGGAACAAAAGAGACGGAAATAACTTGAGTGACACCGGTTCAAGAGGGTGTCTGGAACATGATTTCAGTGTTCAGGAAACCCTCTGGGAGAGAAGGAGTTAACATTCTTGAGTTCGCTCTAAACGCCGTCAAAAAATAGACAATTTAATTACGGCCATCAGAAAACATGAAGAATGAAAACTTCCTTTGTTAAAATAATTCATTTTCAAGACGACCTTCAAGGCAGTGCAATGCAACAAAATCTTTGAGGAAACCTCTATTTCTGCATGAACTCAATGATCAAAGTAATTGTCAGTTTCAATTTGTCAGTGTGTAAACCAAAATAAACACTGTTTATAGTCGGAACTCTGTTGAGCAAACCCTGAGGTAATAAAGTCTGTCTTGTGACAGGTAATGATTAGCCTCAAACATCAAAAAACCCTCTGATGGACTTTAGTGGCTCATTGTATTATTGTGCAGGTTAGGATTATATCATTATAGTATTGTGCCTTTTTAAGAGATAATGTCCAAGTATTTTCACCGAGGCTGTTCACCTCATCTGGAGACTCCAGTTAGAGTGGGGCTCTAAAGATGACAATGAAATTGCCGCAGGTTGTAGTTATTTATTACCATTTGATTCAAAGTTGAACGGTGGAAACTTGCCAAAACAGATTTGGGCGGCCGAGCATACCCACTGCCACCTTGTCAAAAGTCTCCTCAGATTTAGGAACAGATCTGCTTTACTGACAAGGCGAAGGCAAGATTTCACTGGATGATATCACTGCATTCACACTTTTAGAGTGACAGCTTTTACAGCAAAGGTCTGATCTGATGTCATCTGCAGAAAAGTACATGTTCCCCTTTTCAACATCCTTTTTATTCCCTCAGTCTGTGAGAGTAATAAAGACAACGCAGACAGAGGATTCCTGTTTTCGTTTGTAATGAACACAGGTCATTACAGTATGAATGGCTAAAAGGTTTACATTTTACTGTCTTACCACCTGCATTATTTCAGAAAGTGCAGAAATGTATCTCTGTCTTCTGTGTCTGTGTCAACACAGGATGTGTTCAGGCACAGTATTGAGTACAGATCACCCACGTTTAGCAGTGCTCAGAACACAGCACACGAATGCATAAAACACGCTTCGGGATACTTTAACGTGTGTGTGATGTGAGCGAAACTTGAGCTACTGTGCAGACACCTGGGCTGATTAACAAACGGGGGTGTGTTCTGCCAAACACGTGTGAGGCTGAAAAACGCTGCGGTTGATCTTTCTGTGCAGTTGACAGCTGAATGTTTTGGGGTTTTCTTTGATTAAAATGCATTTGTAAAGACGCGGGTGATATTTCTGATCAATGTTAATATTTTCACGGCAAAGATTGACTTGTAACCATCTGTTAGGAGTCAGAGCTCAACTAAAATGAAGCAGCAACTAAATATTGTCTTTCTCCTATTTCTGTTTTATTGCAAATTCAGTGATTTTCACTCTGAAGCTTTTCAAAGGTGGAAGAGATTCTCGTTACCCACTTGACATGCTGGTGACTTGTCAAACACAGGACCATAATGTCAGCAGGGATAGTTTTTTTATAGAAATTCCAGAAAGAGAGTCCTCCCATTGTAATTGGTAGTTTGCAGAACATCTTCACAGCACATAAAACCAATAATGAAACCAAAACTAATTCCATGGCTCGATACCAAAGCTGCTTTCAGACATGCACTGAACTCCAGATAATCTCCTCAGATTATGCGTGAGAACTCAAATGTTCGAGTTAGTTGCTTTAGGACATTCTCCAGAGATTTTCCTGCCAACACCACAGTGAAAACTGGATAATGTCAGAGTGAGCTGAAGTGAGAAAAGAGCTGGAGATTATCTGCAGTGTTCACCACCAGTGAGAGGGTGCCCTGATGTTTCTAACATGTGATGGAAAACACCCCAAAAAATAGAAATATCTCAGGATGAAAAAAAGGTGCCATACACATAGAAGATACCAACTAAGATGCGAAACTTGGAAAGACAGCGAAATTCAAGAGCTTTTGGTGAAAAGGGCCAAAGCCAATGTCAATGGGCTGTAAACAAAAACACATGATCTCAACAGCAGACTTGAATTAATCATTTACAATTAAGTTTTGCGGTCACATTTTGTTTATGCCATAAATATACTACTTCTGGACAAACAAAGACTGCAGTTATTACAACAGTGCAGAAGTTGCATGGTGGTACACCTTATAAACTTCTGCAGCATCTTTGACCTTTGAAACCCTGAGACGTTTGAGCCCGGGCTGAGCTGAAATTCCAGGCCTCCCCAGTGTCTGTCCTCACAATGCACAGACAAAAGCATGAAACCTAAGAGCAGGAATGAGTCTGAGGCCTGAGACCATCGGTGGGAGGATAAATGATCGACTAATTACAACGCCAACAAAACCCACTGAACATAATCCACGAGTGGGGCCGAGGGCGTCCAATTATGTGTCACTGCGTGGTGGTATTTGGTGCCATGCTGACTGTCATTCAGATATCACATTTCAAATTCAAAGTGCCAGTTTTCATGTGTGCTAAATATAGCTTTGGTGAATAATTGAAGGACGCAGGGTCATACATGTGCAATGTAATGTCCTGGTACCTCAAAGAGGGGGCGGATGCATTTAAAGAAAAACTTCCCTGAAACTTAAACATTAACCCCACACTTCAACTGCTTCTTAACTTCTCCCAACACCCAATGTGCATTTAGAGTTATGTGTTGTCATCATGCAAAGGCTTAGTTAGGATTGTGCTGCATGGCAACAGTCCACAGTGTGTCACTCTGACCTGAGGTATAACTGCTGCACAAACACAGGTTGACAATTCAAAAACGCAAGGGTCTAGTTTCTCTGCAGCTTTCAGAACAGCTAGAGGACCTTTTGGCTACAACCCCCCTCCCCCCCAAAGACACCCCTGCACCTTCACTGGTGTTATTTCAGCAAGTGGGGGTCGTTGACCTCTTGCTGTGAGTCATAGTGCGGCTGCCGTCGCAGTGGTTACACAAGCATTTAGCTCCAAGACACTCAGAGCTGGGAGTTTTAAATGACACAACACAAATTAGGTCTTCCAGACACTGGTGGCCAAGCCCATATTGGGACGCGCACACACACACACACACACACACACACACAGACAAACAAACTTTGGGATGCAGTCGCTCTGCACGTCACAGCTGAGCAGCAGTGTAAACAGCAAGATGAACATATACAAACCACCCTAGTGAACATAAGGCTATCTCAGTGAAGACATTCACTGAGATAATACATTCCCTAGCCCCTTACCCTAACCTTAACCATCACAACTAAATGCCTAACCCGAACCCTAAAACCAGTCAAAATGTCCTCCCAATGATGGTACCGAACCAAAATTGGCCCGCATAACTATATATAGACGTGCGCACACACACACAGTAGTGAATCACACCACATAAAGGGACTACTCAGTGGCGTTTGAGTAAATTTAAAGCCTGTTGTGAAGACAGGTTTTAAATCAGCAGTTTGTGGTAATGTCCCGTTGCTTTTCCAGACCCGTGGGAAGTGTAGTGTAATATACAGTTTGTCCCAGAATGTAAGCTTGACTTTCTTAAGAGTAAAGGTTGGACTAGGACAGTGGCACCAGAGAGTAAAGGATCATGTCCTCTGGTCAAATAAACTCCCTTACACCCACTAACATCCGGTATTTGTCTGCAATGTGAATGGATACAATGAACATTCACTCCCAGGGCAAATGACTCTACTGTAGATATGGATCTTAATTGGCTCCAGCTCCGATCGGCAGTGATGGAAATGTGGCACCCCAGTGGATGTG